AGCTTTTACACACAAACGCTTTTACACACAGAAGCTTTTACACACAGACACTTTTACACAGACGCTTTTACACACAGACCCTTTTACACACAAACACTTTCACACACAGAAGCGTTTACACACAGACTCCTTTACACACAGACGCTTTTACACACAGAAGCTTTTACACACAGAAGATTTTACACAAAAACAAAACTTTCACATTCAGACGCTTTTACACAGAGGCTTTTTACACAGAGGCTTTTACACACAGACGCTTTTACACACATACGCTTTTACACACATACGCTTTTACACACAGACGGTTTTACACACAGACCCTTACACAGACACTTTGAAACACAGACGCTTTTACACACAGACGCTTTTACACACAGAGGCTTTTACACACAGAGGCTTTTACACACAGACACTTTTACACAGACGAAAGCGTTGCGATTGACTAAGAAAAATCGCAATTTTTCCTCAGTTTTTGACGTCCAACGTCCATTTCGTGCGAAAGGGTTACGATTGACCAAGTAAAATCGCAATTTTTCCTCAGTTTTTGACGTCCAACGTCCATTTCGTGCGAAAGGGTTGCGATTGACTAAGTAAAATCGCAATTTCTCGTCAGTTTTTGACGTCCAACGTCCATTTCGTGCGAAAGGGTTGCGATTGACCAAGTAAAATCGCAATTTTTCCTCAGTTTTTGACGTCCAACGTCCATTTCGTGCGAAAGGGTTGCGATTGACTAAGTAAAATCGCAATTTTTCCTCAGTTTTTGACGTCCAACGTCCATTTCGTGTGTAAAGGTTGCGATTGACTTAAGTAAAATCGCAATTTTTCCTCAGTTTTTGACGTCCAACGTCCATTTCGTGTGTAAGGGTTGCGATTGACTAAGTAAAGTCGCAATTTTTCCTCAGTTTTTGACGTCCAACGTCCATTTCGTGTGTAAAGGTTGCGATTGACTAAGTAAAATCGCAATTTTCCCCCAGTTTTTGACGTCCAACGTCCATTTCGTGCGAAAGGGTTGCGCGCGACGCTTCAAAATCGCAATTTTACCAAGGTTTTGGACGTCCAACGTCCATTTCGTGTGAAAGGGTTGCGCGCGACGCTTCAAAATCGCAATTTTACCTAGGTTTTGGACGTCCAACGTCCATTTCGTGCGAAAGGGTGGCGTTTCGTGGCGCTCCGGCGGCACCGCCCCCGCCTTAAGAGAGAATAGAAGAAGAGCGAGAGGAGATCTGCAGATGTGAAGGTGTGAAGATCTAGATCTGCAGGTGTGAAGGTGTGAAGATCTAGATCTGCAGGTGTGAGGGTGTGATGATGTAGATCTGCAGATGTGAGGGTGTGAAGATCTAGATCAGCAGATGTGAGGGTGTGAAGATCTAGATCTGCAGGTGTGAAGGTGTGAAGATGTAGATCTGCAGATGTGAGGGTGTGAAGATCTAGATCTGCAGGTGTGAAGGTGTGAAGATGTAGATCTGCAGATGTGAAGGTGTGAAGATCTAAATCTGCAGATGTGAAGGTGTGAAGATCTAGATCTGCAGATGTGAAGGTGTGAAGATCTAGATCTGCAGGTGTGAAGGTGTGAAGATCTAGATCTGCAGGTGTGAAGGTGTGAAGATCTAGATCTGCAGGTGTGAAGGTGTGAAGATGTAGATCAGCAGATGTGAAGGTGTGAAGATGTAGATCAGCAGATGTGAAGGTGTGAAAATGTAGTATAACGGCTGCTTTTTTACGAAGAACCCTTCGCAGGCGCTCTCGGGAAAAATGTATGTTTCCCAACCTTTTCCGCTTTTTCAATCCCATCAGCCCACCTGCTGCTGCTGCTGCTGCTAACAGAAGAGTAGCAAGAGCACCTCCCGGCACCAAAACAGCAAGGCAAACAGCAAGGCACGGAAGGACGAACAGGCCCTAGAATCGCACCGAAAAACTGCCTAACGTCCCTTCTGAATTCCTAGAAAAAATGTCTTTGTCTTTTTCCCAACCTTTTCCGCTTTTTCAATCTCCCATCAGCTCACCTGCTGCTGCTGCTGCTGCTGCTGCTGCCCAAAAGCACCTCCCGGCACCAAAACAGCTGTTGCTGCTGCTGCTGCTGCTGCTAACAGAAGAGTAGCAAGAGCACCTCCCGGCACCAAAACAGCAAGGCACGGAAGGACGAACAGGCCCTAGAATCGCACCGAAAAAGTGCCTAACGTCCCTTCTGAATTCCTAGAAAAAATGTCTTTTTCCCAACCTTTTCCGCTTTTTCAATCCCATCAGCCCACCTGCTGCTGCTGCTGCTGCTAACAGAAGAATAGCAAGAGCACCTCCCGGCACCAAAACAGCAAGGCACGGAAGGACGAACAGGCCCTAGAATCGCACCGAAAAACTGCCTAACGTCCCTTCTGAATTCCTAGAAAAAATGTCTTTGTCTTTTTCCCAACCTTTTCCGCTTTTTCAATCTCCCATCAGCCCACCTGCTGCTGCTGCTAACAGAAGAGTAGCAAGAGCACCTCCCGGCACCAAAACAGCAAGGCACGGAAGGACGAACAGGCCCTAGAATCGCACTGCAAAAGTGCCTAACGTCCCTTCTGAATTCCTAGAAAAAATGTCTTTGTCTTTTTCCCAACCTTTTTTCGCTTTTTCAATCTCCGATCAGCTCACCTGCTGCTGCTGCTGCTGCTGCCTACTGCTGCTGCTGCTGCTGCTGTACTGCCGCTGGCTGCTGGCTGCCGACTGCTGCTGCTACAAGCCCCTTCTCCTGCTGGTGTGCTAGTGCTGCTGCTACAACTCTGGTGCTGCTGCTGCTGCTGCTACAACTCTAGTGCTGCTGCTGCTACTACTGCTGCTGCTGCTGCTGCCTTACTGCCGCTGGCTGCTGGCTGCCGACTGCTGCCTACTGGCTACTATTGCCGCTGGCTGCTGGCGACTGACTATGTGCTGTTCTACCCTATAGAATATAGAAGTGGTACTAGTCCGAAACCAGGGTCAAATGTATTATTCCCTAGCGCGCTCCCCCTTGCGTCTGCCGGGGTCGGCGGATATACGCTTCCTCCTGGCCATGACACGACTTGATAAAGAGTACTTTTCACAAATAGGGATGTCATGGGATGTCAAGAGTCTTTTTTGGAAGTGGACTCTTGATCTGTATAATTTTTTCACTTTTGTGACATCAATATACGATTAATATGATATCCCTTTTATACATTTTTAATACTTTGTCTGAATGCACATATAAAGGGGAATCCTCTCTCTTTTTGTCTTTGTTCTTGCGTTCCGTTCTTCCTTTTCGCGCCGTGTTTCTTTTCTCGTCGTGTTTCTTTTCTTGTCGATTTCTCGACAGTACATCAGTTGCTTGTTCTGTTTCCTCTTCCTTGATCTATTTCTATTCCGTTCTCCTTCCGCAGTTCTTCGCTCATCCTTTGATCATGTTCTCACAATCTCTTTCTTGGTCGATCACGAGCTCTTTGATCATGAAGCCCAAACCAACTCAAACAACTCAGAATGTCATGTACTGTACTGTGTGCACTGTGAATCAACCACCAGTCTGGACTTGATCCAGAGGGAATCAATCAGACGTGATCATACGTGACCTACTTACGTACTGATGCCAAGATCTAGATTAAGACCATCATTTTCTCAACAAATATACGATAAGGTACAATTCTACATGTATCTCTCTCTCTCTATATATACTGTAAATATATTATTTATATGTATGATAAGAATATCTTTCAAGTCCCGCCTTTGTCCCAACCAGTTGTTTAAGAATGCCGAGGTCACCCAAGGCGGTCAAGGCCACGGCGCCAACCCCTTGACCGTCAATGGCATGGATGGTTGGCGTTTGAAACTCAGAACTCGTTTGACATTTTTTAAAATTCAATTCGAATCAATTTGAATTCTTTTGTCAAAATCTTTTGTTTATTTTGTTTTGTCTTCAGAGAGCTGGACCTAGCTTTGTGTGATGCTGTGAGATGCCTCAAACATTCAGCTTTGGTTCTAGACACTACTGTAATATCTTGCAACCTCTCGTAGCCTGGTATGCCAAATTAATTTTCTCTGAGAATTCTAAGATGCTTCCATATAAAGCTGATTTGGTTTCGTCTGTCAGAGTCTGTCAAAGGACATGCTTGCAATATTTGCGATCAGCATGGTTTCGGACCTGGTGTGTGCCTCAAATGGTTTCCACAGTTGGAGCATCAAGAAAATAATTTGAGGGTGTGCAGAGGCAGCTGTCAGTATCTCTTCCGGCTTGTGCAGCACAGTCCAACCAGTGTTGTCAGCCAGCAAGAATTGGGAACAAAAAATGGATGCAGTCGAAACATGTCGAAACTATATATACGTATATATATAAACGTTTCTTTTGTTTCGTTCAATGGTTTGTTTTGCATGCCAGGGGGATCCAGGGGGCTCAACACGGCACGGTAAGATTTTAAAGACACATAGACAGATCATGCTAAAATTAAATGAAGACAAATGAAGTAGCTTGATTATCTTGATTCACTTTGCAAACCGAGTCAACTGCGAAGTTGTTTTAATGTGACTTCTAAGGCCGAGGCCTCCTCGATGCCTGGGGCTCCCATTGGGACTGGTGGTCCTATAGTTGGACCTGGACCTCCAAGGACGGGAGCATTGTTTGAAAAGTAAAAAAATGAAAAAAATACAGAGAAGAGAAGAAAAAAAGATTAATTACAAGAGATTACAAGAGATTATGATATGTTGTGAATCTTTCTTTGCCCTCTTTATATTCAGAGAATTGATCCATTTTGATTCATGTTGATTCATTTTGTTCATTTTTCCCTGCTTTTAACATCTTTTAACTGCTTGCATTTAGCATATATCGTGACAATGTGCAACATGAATCAGACTCGTCCTGCAAAACTGTACTGTGAATTCTCGGAGTGGAATCAGAAGCAGTACCCGCGGAAGTTCCCAAGATGTCACCACTTGGCAAATCTTGGCATTTGGCAACTGGGGAAGGTGTTAAAGACAAGCACCCCTGCGCAGGCCATTCAGAGATAGCCATCTGTTCGTCC